ATATATATATATCTCTATCTCTCTATCTCTCTATAGATATAGATATAGATAATTTTTTTAAAATAAAAAATATATAAAATAAAAAATATTTAAAATATAAATTTAATGTATTAATGAATACAGAGCTGCATTCATACTCTCTTCTTCTCTCCTCCTCTTCTTCTCTCCTCCTCTTCTTCTCTCCTCCTCTTCTTCTCTCCTCCTCTTCTTCTCTCCTCTTCTCTCTCTCTCGATATAAATATAGATAGATATATATGATTTTTTTTTTATACATACATTATGGTTCACATAACATGTCTGCCCCACCATGTGTGGTTACTAAGAATCCCCGCCAAGCAGCGCGGGATCGATAACGGGGAGTTCATAGAGAGCGCTGTTTTTTCCGGGAACATGTACGGGACCAGGTATGTGGATCCAGAACTGGGCGCGTCTGTCCAACCTGCATGCCGTATGCTACGCGCGCCATCATTGTAGGGGGGTCATTATATCATAGACATGTATGAACAAGTCTTCCCCGGAGCTGTGTACGTGGAAGATCCAATAGTTACAGGTCTCCGGGGATTTAAATCGGATGTCACTAAGCTGCTAAGTCTCGGCTTATAATTGGTTCATCACCCAGAATCCTCCTCTGCAGCAGATTGCCATCACCTGTCATGTTTACCCTCCAGACACTTTTGACCGCGATAATCCCAGTGTGCTGACCTGATATAACGCAGAATCCTGGCTAATGAAGGTCGCTGCAAATTTACATAATCTCCGTGCACCTTAAATCTGACCTCCGTCCTCCCCTTCAGTCTTCTATCTGACCTCCGTCCTCCCCTTCAGTCTTCTATCTGACCTCCGTCCTTCCCTTCACTCTTCTATGTGACCTCCGTCATGCACAATGGGAGCTGCTCACAATGTGCATTAGAAGCCGCAGCAAGTCAGATAGAGCCCGCCCCATTTCCTGGCTGGGGACATCCAGCATTATCTGAAACTTTCCTCCCCAGCCGGACTATGCCTAACCCAACCCTTACTTTCATTGGATTTTCAGTTCTTTCAATCCTGGAGGCTCAGCAACACATGTGGGTGTAGGGTGCTCTGCAGGCAGGTGCTCAGTCTCTGCAGGCGGAGCTTGATGGACTTTAATTTCCCAACTTGACTAACTACTGTATGTAGTAGGGATGCACTGATACCGATACTAGTATCGGTGCCGATGCCGAGTATTTGGGCGAGTACTCGCACACATGCTCCGATGCCTAGCCAGATACTTCCGTCATTACACGCTGCCCGGCTTCCTGATTGGCCGGGAAGCCGGCTCCATGCTCTCTCGTCACCTAGTGGCGACAGCTTCCCTGCTAATCGGGAAGCCGCCTGGCTTCCTGAATGGGACTTCCGGTACTCAGTATTCGATACGGGGAAGTACCAAAAAAAAATATCGGTACTCGATAGCGAAATACCGGTATCGGTTCATCCCCAGTATGTAGCACTGTAACTATTTCGGGATAGACGCCATATATTTTTTTTTTCCTCTGCACAGATCATATCCGCTCCTAGGTTTGTGCTTGCGCATTTGGCTTTTTAGCGCAGTTTGTGATTGTTTATAAGTTCCCACGGCTTCAGCAATGAATGTTTCGGGTGGAATAACGAGGGTCACATTGGGAAAGTCATGGCAATGATTAAACAAACCCAACCCCCTCCCCTCCCCCCCCATATTACATAAAGAACGTGCAGGAGATCGGATGTGGACATCCTAAGTGGGACATCCTAAGAGCCTGAATAAGCCTCTAATTAGTTAACTATCTTTCATGCTGATCGGATTATGGTGGAGAGCATATGGCAGGGCACGGGGTCAGGCACGGGGTCAGGCACGGGAGCTCATGTCATCGATGATTGGAAGAGTAACAGCCGTGGCTCAGGGGCCTATTTATAAGGGTCCAGATTAACGTATCGGAGCTTCTCTGTGGTAATTATATATCCAAGTTGCTGTACGGGTGTACTGAGCTTCTTGGTGACATTGGTGAAAATGTTCCCAGCATGCACTGCTTCTCACACCTTCCTTCTCTCTCCTTCAGCAAAGCAGCAGTACACGTTGTGCAAGCCAAGAATCAGATCTGTATACTGGACATTGACATGCAGGGCGTTAAGAGCATTAAAAAGACCGACCTGAACCCCATCTACATCTCCATTCAGCCCCCCTCCATCGAGATCTTGGTAAGTGACAACAGGAGTATAAACATTAATACATATCAGCGGCGTAACAATCACCATAGCGACCCAGCGGCCATGGGATCCTCTGCTGGTGGCTTTCACTGGCGGCTGAAGGCGAACACGCCGCTGTGCAGATCACTGACAGTAATCTGTGCAGCAGCGCGTTCCTCTCCCACAGAGTCAATGAGAGCCAGCAGCGGCGGTGGAGGAGGAGGCGGGGCCCGTGGTCGGCAGCAGGGGAGGAGGCGGGTCCCGGTGACGAAGGAGGCGGGGCCTATCAGCGACCTTGGATGAAGAGGAGACGGACAGGTAAGGAGTGTGACCAGCCCACCTGAGGGTGACCCTGCAGAGCCCACCATAGAAAGTCTATGGTGGGCTCTGCAAGTTTACCCACTCTGTGATCCTTGGTTCACCTATAGTGCAATACATGTTCAATCTGCCCAATTGCGTCAGATTCAGTGATCCCTCTCCAGCCGGTCCTGGCTGTACTGTAGAAAATGTCAAATATTGACTTGCTCCTAGGATACAATAATGGACGTGTACCCCCAAACTAACATCTAACCTGAGAAAACGGAGCAGATCCTGCTTCTAATGAACAAGGTGAGCACACGCCCCTTCATTAAACTATGAGCGTTCTGCTCCACTTTCTATGCCGTGTCTGCGCCGGACGCAGCACAGAGAGCTGGAGCTCCCTCTTCCCTGCGTATATGCAGGTTATACCCATGTAGTGTGCTCATTGCTTGGGTAGAGAGAGCCATGTGAGCGGTCTGCCTGGTCACCGCTAGACAGTTCACATCTCGTATGCCAGGTCCAATCTGGGGGATCTGCAGCAGTTTTCTATATTAGTAACTGCTGCGATCCCTTTCTGAATTTAGGTACAGAACCTGCGGCAGTTCCTCTTTCGCTCTACAATAGAAACTGGCATGGGGACCTGACACCGGTCTGTCTGCTTTGTTATTGTGGTGCACCTGCGCCATTATAATGGAAAAGCAAGCTTTATTAATTCCCACCACTAGGGAGCAGACAGACGCCATTGGAGGGGATACAGACTCGGGTCTGGTCACTGATCTGCACTGTGCAAGAGATGTCTGTGTCCCAATCCAAACAGCTCACATACAAAATCAGAGTCAACAGTCTATTTGCCTTTAGTAAGTGAACCCCAATATGTCCATTAGAGCATCCTGCAAGTAAGACGTGAGGCAGAATCCCTCTTTTTATTCATGCATTTGCTATTACTATATAGTTACATAGTACCGTGTTTCCCCGAAAATAAGACACTGTCTTATATTTTTTTGGGCTCAAAAAAACACACTAGGTCTTATTTTCAGGGTAGGTCTTATTTTTTTTTTAATGTACAACAATCCAAAGTTAACGCAAATCCAAATTAAATAATCCAAAATGGCAAAGTTAAGAATAGGGTGATCAGGGCAATCAGGGGTGCCGTACCTTTCCAAGAGCAATTTGGTAACCAATCGCTGGCCAGAATGAGCGAAACGCACTTTCACTATCGATCCCTCACAGGCGGAGGGCATTTGGTATCACTCTGCCAGTGACAGGAGCCAGCGCTATAGAAAAAGGCTTATGCGGCTCTGCTCCCTCCGCTGCTGCCTCGCTTCCTCTAGCGCTGGCTTCATTGGCACCGCTGATTCTCTCCCACGGCTCTTCAAGTTCCCCCTTATGTCACCATCGGCCCTGGGAATGGTCACAAATAGGTCTTATTTTCGGGGTAGGTCTTATTTTAGGGGAAACAGGGTATTTGAGGTTGAATAAAGACATAAGTCCATCAAGTCCAACCTATTGAGGGAGGTATAGCTGTGTGCTGGGGGTTCATCCAGAATGTTTCCTGTAAAACGTGGACTGTATCCGGTCTACTCGTAAAGATCAACCTACCTAGTAGTAGTAAAGTAGTTGGTCACATCCAACTGGACTTGTTCTGTGTTGTTGGAGACGTTTCATAGCTTCTCCAACAACACACCCCAGTATTTATATCCTCCACCATACCAGGAACATACCCCAGTATTTACACCCCCACTATACCAGGAACATACCCCAGTATTTATACCTCCACCATACCAGGAGCATACCACAGTATTTATACCTCCACCATACCAGGAACACACCCCAGTATTTATACCCCCCACCGTACTAGTAACCTACCCCAGTATTTATACCCCCCACAGTACTAGGAACCTACCCCATTATTTACACCCCCACCATACCAGGAACACACCCCAGTATTTATACCTCCACCATACCAGGAACATACCCCACTATTTATACCCCCTACAGTACTAGGAACCTACCCCATTATTTATACCCCCACCATACCAGGAACACCCCCACCATACCAGGAACATACCCCAGTATTTATACCCCCCACAGTACTAGGAACCTACCCCATTATTTATACCCCCACCATACCAGGAACACACCCCAGTATTTACACCCCCACTATACCAGGAACATACCCCAGTATTTACACCCCCACTATACCAGGAACATGCCCCAGTATGTATACCCCACCATACCAGGAACACCCCCACCATACCAGGAACATACCCCAGTATTTATACCCCCCACAGTACTAGTAACCTACCCCATTTTTTATACCCCCACCATACCAGGAACATACCCCAGTATTTATATCCTCCACTATACCAGGAACATACCCCAGCATTTATAGCCACACAGGTAGCACATATACCTCAATCTAATCATTATGGAATGTGCCAAGGCAGATGTTGATTGTTCAAGAATAGGATGGAGGTGTACTTG